TGTCACGCATGGCACATAACTGACTGAACTCAACTCTCTCAAGTTTTTGTTCACCTCTTCTGTGACCAGGTATTATTCTATTATTTTAACCAACGTTTTATCCAGTGAGTCATTTGTCCTTGGGGACATCAGTATATGAATCGTTAGGACTTATAAATTTAATGTCTCAGTAGCCATTTTTACTAGAGCTCATATTATAAGTTGTTGTTATTGCTTTTCTCTAGCACTCCGTATTACTGGTTCCGATATTGTAATCAGTTCTATGCTTGGCCGGCTTAGGAGATTTTTGTGGCCTAAGATATGCGCTAATTCCTTAGGATTTCGTATTTTCCACTGATGTTCTCACCCCACAGAAGACGGTGATCTCCCTTTTCCTTCCATATATGGTCAGCCATGACTGCTTTTTTTCTATTTCTACTCGTGTATATTAATAATATTGAAATCTTATAGTTTTAATTTTACGATGAAAAAAATCATTTACAAGCAAGAACCCAATATAAACACTGATATTTAATTCATCAGTTCTTCCTACGAAAGGCATTATTTAGTTTTTACATAGAAATTAAAATAGAAATTGTATGAAAATGGAAGAAAATTAACTAAACATATGTACAAAATATTCTTAGAAACCGAAAGGAAAAATTCTTACGCATGATTAGACTTGGTACAGTGTAAGTCCCCATATCCGAACGTCCTCATATTCGAACTTCTCAGCGTTGCCATTCACATGTTGTAAGAATATGCTACATTATAATAATTTTCTTTTCTTTTTTTTTGCGGATAATTGTTAGTAACTTGAAATTTTCTCAACTCATAATGTTTTTCACAGAAGAAAATTCAAATGGAAGAAAAAAGAAAAGAAATTTCGTCACGTTACATCAGTAATTAAAGATTATTGAAAAACTGGACGAAGCTCCTAATTCGTTGAATTTGCAAATTAACAAACAAGGATTGGAGAATCTGAACTAAAGCATGCACTTGAAGATGATCCACTGAGTACTCTCACTTCGGGTGACTTAAAAGAATGGATAAATGAAGACGATAATGAATTAGAAAAGAATTCAACAATAGAATCGCTTCAAAATGATTGTCAAGAAACAGGAAAAATCAAAATCTTCCGATAATGGTGAAAATATGAAGGATGATGAAGAACACTAAGAACAGCTATTAATGAAGTCATCGAATTCATGAGAGAAAAAAATCTTTGTTCAATTGTACAGAATGTAAAAGCGCGCGTGTAATTTGCAGAAATGTCTTACTTCAAAAAAACTAGAACAGCGAAAAAAAAAGCGAAATGTGAAAAAGAAATAATAAAGACAATTGAAAATAAAACTTAATTAGTATTAAACATTGCAAATTAATATTTACTTTTATGAGGCACTTAAGTTTTCATATATTGCGAAAAGTTCTTGTGTTTTGTTAAGTTATAGTTATACTACACGTGACACATTATAACGGGATCCATCTTCATATCTGAACTACACTGCAGTTTGGATATGAGGACTTCTACTGTATTTTACTTTCAGAAATTAAGACGTTATTAATTTTTTACAAGTGCACTTAGGATTCGATTGAATGGGGTTTAGTATTTATTACGATATCAGTGGTAATGACGAGAATACATTATTCTTCAACAATGAAACATTGAATGACATCGGTAAACTTTCAAAGACATTATTAATTTTGATAAATCATTATTATCAAGGAGAAAAATATTGACATCTAAAACCTTTCAATGCCATTGTCTGCATTGTATAGTTTTCTATTCTAAATATGTTTCCCTTATATTAGCACCATATTACACTTAATGCCACTGTACGAATGATCGATCTTTGTTGATCGATCACTCTTATACAAAGCATTTCTTCAAACATACCATTACTATTAAAATAATATTCGCTGAAATGCATTTTAAATAGAAACTTGATATATGTCCTCTTTACGTCTATAGAATTTTTGTGATTATTTTTATCATTTCACCTCAAACAAAGGTTATTTCGATGTGGTGTAATGGATAGCAAGCTTGTCTCTCTAGAACAATCACCACTGAGCAGTGAGTTCGATCCTCACTGGGTGCCCCATACATTCGGCCTAGTGCTGCATCTAAGCTACCGTTAGAAAATCACTATTTCATCCCAAGTAAAAAGCAAGGGTTTGCTTGGCGTGAAAAAGAATGAGACTTCAGTGTGTATAAAAGAGAATAAAAGCACAAGTCTCAGGAAAAGAGAACATGGTGATTGATGGTGTGTATTAATTTAAATTTAAATCTTTGAAGATTGTAGATAACAGAGAAACAATAAATTGCAAGAGCATTCCACGGGCAAGAAGTGCGAGAAAAGAAACTATTAGAATAGAACGTACCGTTACATCTATTGCAACTGTATAAAGATGAGAGGTAGTTGGTAATTCACCGTTGAGGTACCAAGGGAAAGAACTCATTGGAACAATTCCCATGGCAGTGAGAAAGTGACTGGAGTCGAAATGCCGGGTCAGGACCGATAACACTGCAGACCCTTCTTTGGATATCGATAATCTCAAGATATACAGTAGGAGCACCAGATCAGACATGGCAGCAATATGCGATACAAAAGCGGGTAGTAGATTTCTAAATGGGCGAATAGAACCATCTTTTATAGCCTCGCAAGTGATTCAATATAATCACTCCAATTCATGTCGAAAAAGGTGCAATGAATTGCTCTCGTAGGGGTTAACATCAACCATGCTGAAGGGAGAAAAGTGGTTCTCTGTGATGATTAAAATATATCAGTTTTGTCTTGGAGTCTTTACAATTCAGAAGCTATTTCTTGCCCCAGTTCAAGCTCCAACTGATTGGAGGCCATTTTCGAGAACATCTTCCAGTTTTACTTCGTCTGGTCAATCGGACTTACTATTAAGACAGGAATAAATAGTTCTATCATCACCATAAATCCTAGTAAGGAACCGATGACATCGAAAGATTGTTGATGAAGATAAGAAACAACGTAATTTCAAAGAAAGTAATATGTTTTGGTCTAGTTAGGAATACGTCAGTCCATGTTGCATCCTTTGTACTCAATGTAATTGAAATTATATATGCGTCTTTATTTATTTTATACAAAAATATTTCTTTAGACTAACAAGCGTATTTATTTTCCTCTCGGGTTTATTGACACAAACTATTTCTCGTCGTTCTTTTTAATTTGTCTTGACGATAAACCGTTTTTCCCATTAGAATAATTTTTGTGGATAAATGTTAATCTATTCTTATAGGTATTGGAATGTGCAAAAATAATTTATATTAACATTTTAATCTTTTAAATATCGATTCAGAATATAGTTAATCATGACTATCTTTATCATGAGAAGAAGAGGGTGAGAAGGAAAGGGTGAGGTTGTGGTAGCTTAGCAGTTTGACCTGCCTAGATATTTCTTAACTTTTGAAACTATGTAAATAGTTTTATATAGTGGGTTGATTGCTAGTAGTAGTCACTAGTACAATTAATAATAGGAATCACTATGATATTGTCAGATACAACAGTTGGATACAACAAATAACTTTAGAGAAACAAGAGACGAATAGACATTCAAAATACAAATAAGAAACTTAAGGAAGAAACTATGCATTTTGGAAATATTATAAAATATGTTAGTTTGGAAACATGCGTAAGGTGTATGTCGGCAAGATAGTCTTAGATCCCACCATGTGAGAAGAAGTTCATAAAATGCCTACTATCATGTACGCACTTACAACTGCCTGTCCAAAAATACCCATCGGCACATGAGTGAGTTTGAGGAAACCGATCACTACTAACCCCCAAACTCTAAGCATTATCTTTACCCAACCCCTTTCTCGCACCTTCCGTCCCTACTACCAAGCTAAAGCATACGTCCGGTGTAATTCCTCCAGTCGTGGAGCAGGTTTTCGTTCTGATGATTTCATGAACACCTCGATGTTCATGAAATAAAAATTATAAACGAATGAATAATTAAACTCTCTGTCTTCTTATTATCATTATAATGCTCTGTAATTTACATTGAGGTCTCCTTGGATTTATATCCTCCTCTAAATGATCCCTTCCGGTCAACAACTAGTAAAACGTATATATATATATATATATGTATATATATGTATGTATATATATATATATATATATATGTGTGTGTGTGTGTGTGTGTGTGTGTGTGTGTGCAGGTATGTAGAAAAAATAGGAAAGAACACGTTAGGTAAATAATCCAGGGTCCTCTAGTATTTTTGTTTATATATATATATATATATATATATATATATATATAATCTTTCTCTCTCTCTCTGTCTCTCTCTCTCTCTCTCTATATATATATATATATATATATATATATATATATGGGAATGACACTCGTTTTAGATGAATGATGTGTTGCCTGTTCATTTTCAATGTATTCTCACAGCATATGCAAAATGGATTATTTCTATAGATCCAATTTGTAATTAACATAATATGAATTATTATTGAAAGTTATAGTTAAATTTGAAAATCTGAACATCTTAATTTAATTGAGATTATTCAAATGAACACATATCACCAGGTGTTGATAAACCACATTGAAAATAATCTTCTAACACATTCTTTGTCTCGGTCGGGGTTCTAATAATTTCGAAGCCATCACTTATTTCCTATGTGCCATAATATAAACAAGATTATAATGAAAAGCATCTGGTAATAAATTTTGCAGTTTAATCAAAGCAGCGTTTAAAATGACTAGGATATCACTAAGGTTTTAGTAAAAGCATTTGGGAAAAATAAGTTGTAATTTTTAATAAGTTGAAATAACTGATAATATTCCACACTTGTATACGATCTTGATCAAATATATCTCAGATATTTAAAGATTCTACTTAGTGGCTCTTGAAAAAACAAAATCCTTCGCAATTCCAAAAGTCGAATTGATAAAAATGCTATAATGAAAATGTTGAGACACTAAGATTAAAATATATTGATGAATAAAATATTTACTGTTTTCCCGTTTCTTTAAGTTGGCACTTAAATGCATGGTAAAAACTGAAGAGAGAAAAAGAGAAAGTAAGAGAGAGAGAGAGAGAGAGAGAGAAAGAGAGGAAATGTTAAAGAGAGAAATAGAGATAAGAATGACAGAGTGAAAGGAAGAAAAGAAAAGAAAGAAAGAAAGAAAGAAAGAAAGAAAGAAAGAGAAAGTGAGAGAAAAAGATAAAGCAAGAGAGATAGAAAGAAAGATAAAAGAGTGAAAAAGGTAAATAGATATATAGAGATAAGAAAGACAGAGTGAAAGGAAGAAAAAGGAAAAGAGAGAGAAAGAGAAAGAGACAAAAAGATAAAGCAAGAGAGAGAGAGAGAAAGAGAAAAAGAGAAAGAAGTAAAGAGAGAAATAGTGACAAGAAAGACAGAGCGAAAGGAAGAAAAACGGAAAAAGAGAAAAAATAGAAAGTGAGAAAAAGAAAAGGCAAGTGTGAGAGAGAGATAGAGAAAAATGTAAAGAGAGAAATAGCCATAAGAAAGATAGAGCAAAAGAAAGAAAAACGGAAAAAGAGAAAGCAAGAGAGAGAGAGTGACAAGAGAGAAAGAGAGTGACAAGAGAGAAAGACAGAAGGACCTATAATTATGTTTCAATCTATAGCATACCATAAATTATGACAAAAAGATGTATTTGAACTTCCAGTAAAAACTGATTTATACTGGAAATATATTAGAATAATCTAGAACTTATACTGGAGCAAGCCGCCAGCATACGGATAAAAATGAACTGGGAGAGTACGCAGCAATATAAAGTGGGTAAGACAACCTTCAAAATGAGCCAATCATAAATGAACTAGACGTCCAACTAGGATTTAGTCTTAAAAGTATGCAGATGAAACCGTGTTGATGGTGGGATAGAAACTAAAGGCATTTCTAAAAATGTTGTAAAGGAAAGAAGAAATGAGTAACCGTCAATGGTAAAAAAAAAACAGACAGAATTGATGTCAGTAAAAGAAACAGCCAAATATGCGAGACCCGAACCATGGAGTACAAATGTTCAACTATCAGGGAAGGGTTTTAAGAGAACACGGAAAATGTACCACTACACACCGATATCGCAAAAGATGTCTTCAAACAGCTAAGTGAAATATCAATAAACAGGAAGATATTGTTAGAAACAAATAAAAGAGTTCTGACCAGCTACGTAATATAATTCCTCCTTTTTGGTAGTGTATATTTGACAGTTTCATTACAGACGCGAGGCAACGAAATTGAGTTCTAAAGAAAGATAATGAGAATGGACAGAGCAACTAAGCAAGAAAAAAGTTTTAAGGGAAACGGAAACAGAAAGGTCAATTATATTTAGAAAGGTCAATTATATTTAGAATACGAAAGAGTTGAAATATCTTGGAAGCATTATCGGGAAGAAGACTTCGAACATTTGACAGTCACAGGACATACTGAAGGGGAAAATGAGACAAAGAAGAACAGCATTTAACCTACGTAACGAGTTTTTTTGTAAATCGATGGCCGAACAGAACATGGCAGGAGGGAGAGTAAAGAGTTAAATATTACTAAAGAGTAGAGAGATGTTGAGAGCCATTTCCGTGTAGCCCATAAAAAAAGAAGTCAACGAGAAGATATGAAATAATAGTGATAGGTAATAATAAATGGTTGTAAATTGTCGTACTTATAAATGCAAAAAAAAAAACAGACCTCTATATAAAAGAAATGACCGAGATTAATTTTGAATTCAGCAAAATTCTAAGCAATAAGTGTATCTTTTCAAATTGGATTTTAAAAAATTGTTTTGGGCCTGTTCCATAAATTTTGGTGAAATCAGTAACAGAATTTCTTATTGAATTTATTCAAATAAATCTACAAAGAAAAGTAATATACATTTCACCGCCTCTTCACGGATGTAATGAAATCTCTTCAAGATGATGTATACGATACTATATTTATTTGAAGTGCCATGGACAGAGCAAAATGTGTTTGATCTGAAATACGCCGGAAGTATAAATTTCAGGAGAAGTCTCCAACAGTTACATTTTAGAATTTTCTTCTAGACTTAGACAGTAACAAAGGAATTGAACGATACAAGTTCACTTTGTGATTATGCAGAAGATTGGTAGAATCTCTCGCGGATATTACGAGTTTTCACATCGCCACAGCAGAAAGATTGGGCAGGAAACAAAAGTTATACGGCAAAAGTTTCCGCTTCTTCCCGCAAAGAATTTGTATTTAAAAGAGATTCTTGGAAGATTGATATAGTCTGTTGATGCAGGTTAGATGTAAAATCTATGCAATTTAAAGAAATGCTAACAGTTATAGAATTATTTAAGAAATAGAATATTAAACAAAGAAAACCTTAGAGTGACTGTCATAGGGACCCGATAACCCTATTAAAATTAAGCAGTTGTAGAATATAATGAAATTCTAGAAAATCATGAAAAACCTGTAATTTTAATAAGGTTTTGCATGTAAGAATATTTGCACATACATGTCGAAACGTTTAAAAGCATTGATTGTGCAATACAAGAAACACTCAGTGGCTTTGAAGGTTAGCAACCACAAAGCAGAAATTTAGAATAAAGCCCATTATTTATTTATTTTTATTTTTTTTATTTTAGTTTATTTATTTTTTTGCTTTTTTATACTTGATCCAGAATAATCCACGCGGCTAAGGGCCAGATTATGTGCCTTATAATATTCTTTGAAACAAAAATGGCCGTTGACCAAGCTTGAATAGAATGAAGGAGAAGGGGACAAGTCAAATGATAGTTATCCTTTTCTTAATCGGTATCACACCATGCAAGGATGTAAAGCCACTAAGACCCAATAGATTGCAGTGAGTGAATGAATTAGAAACATAAACATTAATAATGACTAGGAAGGGGAAAGAGTAAGCAAGAGGACAATAGATAGTGATTGACATTGCATTGATATTTTTAGAGATTAAAGTTGACTGGAAAGCATGGATGCGGAAGGGAGTTCTACAAGCGAGAAGTTCTAGAAAATAAACAGTTAGCATAGAATATGCAGTTACATCTAGCCAGCTCAAATGTAAATTGATGAGATCCCGACGGCAGTCTTAAATTCAAAAAGTCTAGGTACCATAGCAAAGAGCTCGTCCGAAAAATTACCATGAAGTATTTATAGAAAAGACACCGAGAGAAAACCTTACGGCTGGGGGGAAGTGACTGAAGACGAGCCGCCAGATCAGGACCAATGATATTGCTGATTCTTTTTTGTATTTTATCAAAGAGGTCAATGAAAAGCGCGGAGGCACCGGACCGCATGTTAAATATTTTGTTATTTGTCAAAATTAGGGAAGTCTATGTTTATTATAAAATATATATAATAGAAATTAGGAATGGAGAGGAAGAGAAATTAGCAACCAATGAAAAGCCATGAACCAAAACGGAAAGCAAAACACTCATGCCATAATAAAAAAAAAATAAATAGAGAAATATCAAGAGTTTAACTCTGTTCCGACGAGTGGTTACATCTATATAGCCATGAAACTTCGACGTAAATATGAGAAGTGAAAAAACTCTTTATTTATTTTGATATTGAGCGCGTTAACACAAAACCTGCTTACCTTAAATGCTTCCTTATCAGCAAACCACTTGAAAACCAGCAATTGTAGCTTCACAAACTGTCTTTCAAATTAACACTATAACAAAAAAAAATATATATAAATGAATTGTGAATGATAGCATTCTTAACAAAATTCGAGATCATGGTTTTAATTTTACTGTTGAGAATTGTGAGATTAGTTCAACCTCAATGCATTTTTGCCTTTGTCAATCCTTTTTCTCTCCCAACCAAACTGGCATTTAATAAGTTGAAATTGTGGTTTCTTGTATCTGATCGTCGGATATGAATAAGTAATCTAATTTTTTACCCTTCTCATTCTTAAAAATCCCAATGAATTTTCCATACACACAGTTTTGCCATTCATTCCAACTTAAAGAAGCCGAGACTAACAGATGTCGGTAAAACGCTTTGTCATTTTATCTAATCAATAACTGTATTGCAAAGTTGAGGAAATAATCATTTGACAGTATATTTAAAAGTATTTTAACATACAAATGCCATTATTACATTTTTTGTACTCCTTTGACATATTTTCTATACAAATATATTAATGAATCATTATTATTGCTATTTTATTTCCTTTGATTTCTGATGTGTACTCATTCCTTCCCGGGTCCCGTCCAGTGACCTAACGTTAGAAATGGTATCATGACATTTTTCACTGGAAAAAAACATATCTTACAAAGACCTTCGTAAGATGTAGGCTAGACTCGTGAGAACAATTTTTTTTGTATTTCTTTAAGGCATGGGCTTCCAGGAAATCCTTCAATTAGTCTACTGGAATCTTTTCAAACCAATCCGAAGGCTCCAACTACAACAGGGATTGTTGATGTTCCCATGTGCCACATTAATTATTATTATTATTATTATTATTATTATTTCCTTTGATTTTTATTGTATACACATTTCATTCTGGGTCCCAACCAGAGACCTAAGATCAGAAATGTCTTCATGATATTTTCCACTGATCATTTTTGTAAAAAACAAAGATCACAAAGAAGGTCCTCGTAATGTGTGAGCAGTACTTGTGAGTACAACTTTTGCATTTTTTTAAGACATGGGCTACCAGGAATTTCTTCAGTGAATCTATCGGAACTTTTTCTATCAATTCGAGTGCTTCAGCTACTATTGATGTCTTCATGTTTCATATTTTTGTGATTTCCACTTCATGATCCTTGTATTTTGATAGTTTGTTTTGAAACGATCAATTACAATCTGTAGGAATTGCCATGTCAATAAAACAGTATATACTGTTCTTGTGGTCTTTGATCACAATATCTGCTTCGATTGTTCTGTCTATTATTATTATTATTATTATTGCATGAATCCATTAATTCCTTGTGAACTATTTTGTTTGCTTTTAGGGAACGAAAATAAACCTAGGAAAAGTAGCTTTCGAAAGATTCCAATGAGAGATGTGTTTTTATTACAAAAAGGGTAAATGATAATTGTTTTGCTGTGAAGCCTCTCATGAAGCTCAGCTAGCTTAAATATATGTTCTGCAATATAAGGCGTTGCAGATTTGTGCCGTCCCTCCCCACCCCCCAGATAAGGCACATTTTCTTCAATGAGAATTTCAATTGTCCAGGCATATAGATGTCAATTACAGTCTTTAAAAACAGGGATGTTAACTCAAACACCTGTACCTACTAAATACAACGTCTATAGTAAAAACAAATACATACATGGATATTGAGCCCTATCTGTCATTGACATGTTTATTCAAAGAGTAAGGATGTAAAAATTCGCCTCCCTCTCAACCGAGCACTGATAGGTCTGGGGTAAAATCTTTGACTGATGCCAAAGTAGTCGGTTTTCGCTCCCGGATTGAGGCAATCGAGTATCTGGCCACACTGATGAGCTGTGAAACAGCGAAACAGTTTGTCTGTGGATATATATATATATATATATATATATATATATATATATAGAGAGAGAGAGAGAGAGAGAGAGAGAGAGAGATGCGTACGTTGAGAATTCTTAAAATAATACTCTTGTTAAGAATCTCACCTAGCAGGATTTTATTTCAGACAA